CATCATTGATGTTTAATAATAATGGACAAGTTGGATTTGTATTTCACTTTTTCACACAAAGAAAAACATGCACATTTAGTAAACATCATATGGAAGCCCCATCGGAGAGAAAAGCAGCTCATTAGGTTTGTGAAAGCAAAGTAGTTATCTGGCCCTGCCTTCACTTGGAATCAGTGTCCTTCCCATTGTCCACCGTCATGGAATCACATGTTATAAAAGAAAGCACGTTCTCCCAGAGATGAAAGCAAAGAAAACACAACTCACCATCACCACTAACAAACAGGTCACTGTTTTGCTCTAGTCCCCATTAGAAATGAATCCTTGGGCCATTTCTTCTAAGTTGTTAGTCTCTATTAAAAATAACTTCACTTCTGACTTTTGCAGTACTGACATGAGAGGACTATGGGAGTTATTATAATTGTGTAAAAAAAAAAAAAAAACCTACTGTTTCCATCAATGATAGATGTACTGCAACCTTGTAACTTTGCCACCCTTTCCTCCTGCATGTGTGTATAAAGGATTGCAAGTAAACGTTGCAAGTCAAAATGATTTCCTCTTTATAATGTTTCTTTCTGGGGAGCCTCCTGTTTGGAGTAGTTGGGCGTATGAAGGTGCCCAGATAGACTCAGGAGACCTAGCAAACTGTCACCCGAAACGGGCACTCCTTGCTGAGCTCCTGTACCGACAAAAGCTGGTGGGAATCTCATGATGGGTAACAGCTTTGCTCTTGCTGACGACTTCTGCTTCTGTGTTGTTTGCTTATGACTGACTCTCTTTCTATATCTATTCCAGAGCTAAGCCTGTTTCTGGTATTGACTTCCACACGGCTTCCCCTTTGGTGGCGGCAATATTGAGTAGTGGCTTTATGGTCTAACCACCTGCACTCTGTAAGGTGGCGACCACAGACAAGTCACTCGAGTCCCTACCTACACCGATTATTATCCTTTGGATCATTGATAGAGTCCCCCATAGAGCTGGCCTTTGTGATGCACCATTGTAAACTCAAATCTCTCAAACCAACTTTAGAGAAAAGATTTTTTTTTTTAAAGTCAGCTGGAATGCCAGCAGCCCTGAATCAGGGACACCACCACTCCTCTGTCCTGAAATCTTACCCCCTCTTAGCTTCCCTGTTTCTGGAGCTGCTAAAAATGACCTGTGAATTTTTGCTCAGATGTTCTTAATTTACTTTTTTCTTCAATTTTAAGTTGTGTTCAAATACACATAACATAAACTTACCATCTCACCCATTTTAAGTGTACAGTTTAGTGACAGTAAGTAAAATCAGTCTGTGCCACCATCACCACTTCCAGCTCCAGAACCCTTCATCTCACAAAGCTGAAACTCTAGGCCATTAATAACTCCCCGCTCCCAGCCCCTAACAACCAACACTCAACTTCCTATCTCTATGATTTCCACTACTCAAAATACCTCATATAAGTGGGACCATACAGTATATGTCTTTATGTGAGTAATCATTTTGTTTAGCATAATATCAAGCTTCATCCATATTGTCACATATCAGAATTTCCCTTTTTAAGTCTAAATATTCCAGTGTGTGGATAGACCACATTTTGCTTATCCATTCTCCTGCTGATGGACACTTGAGTTGCTTCCTCATTTTAGCTATTTTAATGCCACCGTGAACATGGGTGTGCAGATATCCTTTCACTTTCAAACTATGTGTCTTTGGCTATAAAGTGAGTCTCTTGTAGACAGCATATAGTTGAATCATGTGATTTTTTTTTAAATCTATTCTGCTGATCTCTGTCTTTTGATTGGAGGGTTTAATCTATTTGTATATTTTTTAATTTTTATTTTATTATTTTTAATTGATTTTTGAGAGGAGAGGGGGAGAGAAACATTGTTGTTCCACTTATTGACGCATTCATTGGTTGTTTCTTATATGTGCCCCGACCGGGGATCAAACCTGCAACCTTGGCGTATCAAGATAACATTCCAACAAGTGTAGCTTTTTTACTCTTTCTATTGTTTAGAAATTTAGGGGACAAAGAAAATATGGGACATAGAACAATTATAGGCACAAGCTACCTTGAGTTGTAATGCTTATAATTGCAATAGAAGTTCAGAGAGAGAGCTTCATTGTCAAGAAAAAGACTATCTGTTTCTTCCACCTTCAGTGTCATTATTCTGAAACTTCCTTCTTGATGCATAAGAATCTCCTTTGTAAAATATCTTGTGGTTCCCCTGATCTATGGGAGAAATCGTAGACGTCTACTTCCCATACAACCCAGTCCGACCGGATTTCTCTGAACTCCTGTCATTGGCAGGCCACTCGAGGTCACTTGTGGCTGTAATTCTTCTATGTTCCTTTTTTTCTCCCCACCCCTCCCCCTACCAATAAGCCTCAAAGCTTCTAAACACAAGAAACAGCTAAAAAACTATTCTTGCCACCCAAATTTCACATGAAGATAGGTAATTCAAGGGTGAGACGATGGCTTTTCTCAGCAGCATAATGCAAGTCTAAAACAACTGTATGTCCTGCCCTTAAAAGAATTAACAGATTTTGCTCAGCGGTCTTCTGCCCTTTGGGATAATTTTACTTGATTTGTTTCTCCACTTGGATGGTCAAAATATAGACTAAAATGTATCCCTCCAAATAGGCTAATAAATAGACTAAATGAAAACTCTTCAGCTGCCTAGTAAAATGTCAGTGAACTATATTGGAAATAATAGAAGTGAAATCATTCCAATGGGTTTCCTCGACAGGTTGTGGAAGGTTATATATGGCAGTGACTCCTGCTGTTTTCCAGGCCGTGGAGCACAGGAAAATGATAGTGTTTACCCAGCACGCTGGGGCCGTTCTGGAGGAAGTGACTCTCTCTGCCACCCGAATGTTACAGGGACACCTTGTATCTCATTAAGAGCTCACTGGTTAGAAAGCCGGGCAGGATGAAACCACATCTTCAAATTTATCTGCTGTCACTTAAAAAGATGACAGTAACAACAAAAATTTTTTAATGCTGTAGCCAAACCATCTCCCTCTCCTTATTGTTGCTTTCAACCTTGGCAATGTCCAAGGTCACAAAACCAGTCTTCCCTATGCCGTCAGGAGCGTGAATGCCCCTGTGTATATAATAATTGAAATAGTTTTCTGATGCTTTTCTCCATCACTTCCCTTATCAAGAAAAAGAAAAGAGAACCCACCCATCTTTAGCTCCTGTGGAACTCAGGTTTGTCTTACAATGGCTTGTGGGGGTAAATGAACTGATTAACTCACCAGCATGCTGAGCTCAACAAAATAAACCATTAGCCAGAGTTGAGTGAGATTTAATGATAAATAGATAAAGCCAGTTGCTCAGAGGACTGCCCCTGTACAAAGGATCCTCTCCAAACTATTTTAAGTGCTGTCATTAGAAAATAAATATGCTGCACTTAGGGGTTTTCAGGCAGACCGTTCTGTTGCACATTTCTCAGCTCTCAAAAGTGAATGAAGACATTTTCTTATCTCAGTAATTTAGACATCAGCATTTTTTGTCCAAGCTAAAATAAGCCACCTATACATAGATAGGACAAGAGCAGATACCAAAATTACAAGGGCCTGTGTTTTATTTTTTCCTGCCTGGAATGAAGATATTGTTGCTTCCTCCCAAGGGGTTCCTTTTCCTACCCCCAGGCACCAAGCACAAGAGAATTAAACAGCTAAAAGAGGCTATCCCTTACAGACATGTGAGAAGGGAAATATTTCAAATAGTTTTTAGGTGTTAGCTAAATATGTCTAATGGGGAATGGAAGACAAGGAAGGGATTTAACTTTGGACACGGGCCATCTGAAAAATTCAAGCACGGCCAGCTTTGCTACAGGCCCTCATTTACTTAGTTCCAGAAGAAAAAGAATGGAACAGAACTGGCAGCTTCAGGCGGGATCAATTAATTGTCTTGCAGGGGTATTGGTAATGCCTAAAGCACTTTGTAAACTAGAAGCACTCCATAAAGATGTTACTATAAGCACCTCTATCATTGGGAGTAGCAAGATCAATAATGATAAAGCAAATTAAGGAAGCAAAGTTGGATTTTATTTTATTTTCACATGAAGGAAAATGTCAAGTTAGGAAATGTTATAGGGTAGAACCAAACAATGAAACCCTACCCTGGAGAAGAGCAGGTTATCCAGTTCTCTAGTTCAAAGGGCACCTAGTTATATATTATTTGTAAAGCTTCTCTCCCTCACTTTAAGTGTTTCTCTTTGCTTCATAGAGGCCAGAACACAAGTAACATATATGATCATGCTCTCCACATATTTGTGATTTGACTCTTGTTAAATAATACAAGTCCCACCCTAGCACCCATCAAAGCATTTTTGAGGTTATGTGTTAAAATTCCCATATGGCCCGGCCGGGCGTGGCTCGGCGGTTGAGCGTCGACCTAGGATCCAGGCGATTGGGGTTCGATTCCCGGTCAGGGCACATGCCTGGGTTGTGGACTTGATCATTACTCTCTCATCATTGATGTTTCTATCCCTCTCTCTCTCCCTCTCCTTTCCTCTCTCTGAAATCAACAAAGATATATTTAAAAAAAAAAAAAAGAATTCCCGTATGTTTTCTTGACTCCTCTGAATGCCAAGTAGGAAGCTCCTGATCGTTAACATCTATCAATGCCTACATCCTCAGTAATCCTTTTGTGTTAAATGCTTTCCACATACTTACTGACTTGATCTTTACAACAGTCTTGTGAGATATATACCATCATTCTTCTTGCTTTACAGATGTGAAAAGCTGAGGCTTAGAGGCAATAAAATAACAGGCCCACAGGTTCATTCCGACGTCCACCTAGAACCCAAGACCACGCTTTCGTCATGAGGAAATACTGTGTTCTCTGTATGTGTTCACAGTTACCCCATGGAGACTAGTCAGTGATGGGAAACAGACGATACTGCATTAATCTTGCCTCTTGGGGTTTTTTTCTCCCCTGCACCTACCTCTCCCTTCGCCTTCTTCCTCCATTTCAACCTCATTTCAACTCTTCCCTTTATTTTTTCCAAAGGCAAATACGCCATGCGAGACCTGGTCCACAGGCTTCCGGGCGGAAACAACAGCAACAGTGCAGCAAGCAAGGCCATGTCGGATGACACGGTGACAGCCGTCTGCTGCACCCTACACGAAGTGATCACCAAGAACATGGAGAACGCCAAGGCCTTACGGGATGCTGGCGGCATCGAGAAGTTGGTTGGCATCTCCAAAAGCAAAGGAGATAAGTAAGTCAGATGGTGACTTCATATCACCATAGAATCGGCATTGGTAGAATGGCTCCAAGTGTGCCCAATGGCCTTGGTCATGGGTAACACTGTTGCATGTCACTGAAAAGCATTTGTCTCTGATAATCAAGAGAACAAAAACAGCAAATGGTTTCCAGTCTTCCTACCCCACAGTGAAGGCTGGTCTCACTGGTAATTTCAATTTGATTAATAAGTCATGACTTGGTTGACTACTGTGATATTGGTAAGGTAGACTTGACAGTTCAGAGTGCATACACGAGAATGTTCCTCCAGCATGGAAGAGACAGCCAGCCTAACCTGGATACATGCAGGTATTCTGTGGTGGTGGTTCCTCTGGGGTTTAGGTCCAAGTGTTATGATGTAACTCCGTCCTTTTGCTCTTTGCCTCTTCAGCTCTTCAGGGCCAGTAGGGGGAGAAAACAGTGTGATGGAGTCAGAGAGAACTCAGTGCTAACCCAGCACCCTCCCTTGCTAGCTGTGCATTTGGGACAAAGTATTGAATTTAATATGTCGCTCTGCCTCCTGTCCAATCTAAAACTGGGGAAGGAGTTGTCCTAATATATATCCTGGAAAAAATGATAATAACTTCTTAAAAGAATGAACAGGTAGAGGGGATAGTGGTGAGAAAGGAAGACATTTATGCAAATGGAAAGAAGAGAGGTGAGACTTCATGTAAAAGCAACTACAGCACCACAAATAGGGATGTCCCCAGCTTGATTTCAGAATCAATGCTATCTTACTGTATGTGACTGAAAAATATCATCACGAGCCAGAGAGCCAGTGGATCAGAGCTGTCAATTGTACAGGAACATTCACTAAACTTAATTAAATTTTGCTTCCTGGAAGTTCCTCAATGGAATCAAATAAGATTAAAAGGGTAAACCTTTTGTTACCAAGGGCCTATTCTCCGCTTTTCATCCCCTGACCCTATCCCCCTTCCTTTACATCTAAATGCTAATAATTTATCTTTTGTTATTAAATGCTGTGAGAGATACACTTTGAGACTTTTTGAAAATTCTCTCATTATTTCATTTAATTCAGGATATTACCATTGTATTCTAAAAGAAGTTTCAGGGCTTCTGTTTAAGTACCCTGAGACCTCCAAATAGTTCCAATCAACAATTCAGTACTAGAATTGGAATAATTTTCCACATCAAATAGAGAAGCCCCATTAGACTCGGGTAATAATTGTGCAGTGTAGATAGTTGGCTTGAATTATACCTTATGATATTGTACTTACAATAAAATGCTATTCTACATAGGCAGGAAGCCACATGGTTTTGTGACAAGATGCTTTTATCAGTCCCATGGTTAAAGAAAATTATTTGGTGAATCTAATTTTAAAAATCTTTTGAGGAAACCATTTATGAAATAGTGTGTATCCACATTGCCAATCCAGAAAATGGCCCTATTAGGTCTTCATTGTTAATGGGAAGTTGCTTTCACTACAGATGATCTCATAAATGTTCTTTAATGAAATGAAATTTCTTTATGGAATTTCACTTCTTGCATCTCAGTGTTCCTTTATCTTTTTTTTTCAGTGTTAACAGTCTGGATTTATGTGTTCATAAGAAATGTTGAACTGAGTTGAGTCAAGCATTTTCCAGGTTATAGTCAGTTTCATCCATTCTTTCATGGAATTTACCTCTTTTTTATATAGTGACTAATTTGGGGATCAAAACAAGTTTCTATAGCTTCAGATATCCTGATCCGCACCTATATTTAGTTATTACCTCTCACTGCTCTTAAAATGAATCCAGAAAAGTTTCTCTGAATCTTAGCACTAAACTTACTGTTCATCATTCAACTCTATCATGACAACAGTCAGTGAGACCTCCCCATGGCCTTCTAGACACGTTTTAATAAGATAGAAATTCTTTATTGAAAATAAAATTGTTGAACTCGGGGGTGATTTTATCATTGGAAAGCAGAGGAATATCAATTTACTCTAGCTAATCAATAAAATGCTTGCAAATCTGTCCTCCTTCAGTTGTCCTTTAAAAAGCATTTATAGAAATAAACTTGATTCAAACCTGATTTTTAAATTTGAGATAGCATGGGAAAACACAGGTAAAATACGGGCCTAGCTATGGTTCTCCATTTTACATATCTATAAGTTTTATTTCTAAATATTTACAGGCTTAAACGTGGGTGATATTAATGAGTCACACGGTCAAGGTGCCAATCACAATCTGTCTGAACTGCACAACACACCATGTCTTGTTAACACAACCACTGGAAGCAGTGGTCTGGGTTCCTGCTGCTGGAATGGTTGTGTTGAACACCCACGATCAATTGAACCCACTGAAATCTTCAGCCACCCCTCATTTCACAACTCCAGTGAAGATCAGGCCGCATAATTGTTAATGACTCTTACAGGAGTTGTACACTTGCCATTTTGAAGTCTTGATAACCTGTATTATTCTGTTCACATCACTTTAAACACCCATTATGGACATTCTGTCACATCCATCTCTTTTAAAAGTACATTTTTTTTCTAATTTTAACAGTTATGTAGGAAATAGTGTTGAATGTGCCACTGTATTTTGTCATAAGACGGAAAAGCCATTAACAGTCTCAACTGTTACTTGTCAGTAAGGAAGTGTGTATCATGGCTGAGGTTATAATCACTTGTCACATTAAAAACACTCAATTGTTCAAGTCCTTCAGTCAATAGTTATAGTTCTTCAAGTAGAAGTTGCTATGGTACCAGTTCAGTGGATGGATTAAAGTTAAAGGCTAAAAGAAAGCAATGTTTCTTTGACCTTCGCATGTTATTATAACACTGAGCTTGTATTGGCATTTTAATTGAGAGGTTAAAACCTGCTATCATTACACATTCACAGTCTCTATTTTGTAACGAAGCAAGAAGTAGAAACAAAAAATTGTCAGAGGAATTTTTGCATAGGTAATACATATGTTTCAACTACATTATCACTACCTGAATATTAATATATGTTTCTCTAGAGTTGGATTATTGTAGTGGATAAATATCTAGCTAACAACGATAAAACACTGCAAAACACAGCATTTTATCTTTGTTCAGCATTGATTGTGTAAGATTAAAATGTACCTATATTTGTATCCACAAAAAGATCTAAAATTCCCTGCCTTTAAGTCAAAGGGATTTAATATTACATTTAGAGTGTGGTACTGGCATAAATCATGAAATCATTTAGCAGGCATCTATTTTAGTAAAAAGAAAATACATCTGTTACTTGAATATAATTCATCTCTCATAGAGAAAAATAATTTGAAATTTATAAAAACTCTATATTTTTTTTCTTTTAAAAGCATGTGATATAACTAATAGATTTCCTAACACAGGCTGAATTCCAGCTCAGTTATAATAATAGTAAGAGTGATTGTTACTGTTACCAGAAAATAAATGGCTGAAGGAACCTTAACCTTAGTTGGTCTAAATTACAAAAGTGAAGATCCAGGGAAATAGCACACATTTAATTGACCATGTATTATCATCCCATAATTTCATTACAAAATGCTTGTCCTCGCAGCATCCATTTACTCTGCTTCTCAATTCCAACCTCGACCTGATCCCATCTAACCTTATCTGCTCACTTTCTATTTCAAAGGCCATTTTATTTCAAAGGCATTTTTGTTGTTGATTCGGATCTTTTCTCTCAGGGTATGTGTGGACCATTACATCATGGACCAGCTTCAGGTCTTCCCACTGGAGTCCTCAGGAATGGTTATATCCTGTGCAGCTCCAGGAGTCACCATCCAGATAGACCAGGGTTGGCAACCTATGGCCCATGGGCCAGATCCCGCCCACCATCTGCCTTTGCAAATTGCACTTGATTGGAACACAGCCATGTCATTTGTTTATGTCCTCTCATGCTACAATGGCAGAGTTGAGGAGCTGTGACCAAGACCAATGGCCCCCAAAGCAAAAAATATTTATTAGAGCACCCTTTATAGAAAAAGTGTGCCAGCTCCTGACATGGGCACAGGGTCCATGGCAGATGCTAGATTTGGGCAGCTGGTTGTGAAACCAGCCTGGTAGAATGAAGAGTCCAAGGGCAACTAGTAGTTTCCCCTCACCTCTAGTCTAAGTGAAGTCCAAGAATTTCATAGAATTATGTCAACACAGATTTATTGATCTAGTATCTGTTTTGTGATGCAGACTGGCACTGAACCAAAAGGTAAAATATTTAGTCATAGCTTCTTCACAGGTTTTTCAAAGCCATGACTCAAAATAATGGTCAGAACCACTAGTCAAAAGGCTTATGTGACTTGACTTTCTCACTATGGCCCAGAGGGTGGAACGTTAACTGCATGAAGGGTTTTCCTTATAGATGCTTCTCTCTTCCTCTGGGCACCCGTGAGAGCGTGTGTGGCAGATGCCAGGCTCTTGTCTGGGCATCAGCAGCAGGCGGAGAGCAAGGCCCTGCAGCCCGCAGGCGTGTGGAGCCAACGCTGGCTACGCTGTCCCAGTGACACTGAGCGCCACTGTCCCTCTTATGCGCGGGTTGCACGGCACTGCCCTTAACACCCCTGGGCCTGGCCCTTCCTCGCCACTCTCTCTTCTGTTCTCTTCTGCAGTCAGATGCTAGCCTTGCATCCTGACCCTTCTGTTTGCATTTTGAACGTTCTCTGCCACATTGTGATTGCTCCTGTCTGTGTCCCTCGGGGTGTGTGGATGAGAATGGGGTTGGGGACCGGTGACCTCTCCCTTGAGCTCCGCAGGCTGAGCGGAGCAGCCAGGAAGCCAGGAGGTTGATTCTCGCCACTGGCCGACAGGTTGGAGCCCACTCACCATCACGCCTGTCCTGTCTTTTCTTTACCAGACATTCTCCAAAAGTGGTCAAGGCCGCATCTCAGGTCCTAAACAGCATGTGGCAGTACCGAGACCTGAGGAGTCTCTACAAAAAGGTAAGGTTTGCTTTGCCGCCTCGGCTCACGAGCGATACACAGGCCCTCAGCCCAAAGACACACTATTGGGTCCTAACAAGATGCATCCTAGATGTAGGGGGCACTTGTCCAACAGTCTGAGTAAGTGAAACAGGAGAATTGATGATGACGCAGGAGAAATAGTCACTCAGTGTCCCCTGAGCATACACTGAGAGCCATGCACTTTCCGGTTGGACAGACCCGCACTCATAGGGCCTCACCCTAGATCTTCTTATAGGAAAGAAAATAAGCTTGTTTTTCTGAGCTTCCATATTTTTTGATCAACTAAAAATTAATGAACTCAGGGATTTTTGCAAAGAAAAAAAAGAACCAACAAGCATCAACAAGTAATTGCAGAGAGGAGACAGAAAGAAATAGAAAAAGCAATTCAGGAAGTCCAGGAACACTGAGGGGAAGGCCCCGCAGCCTGGCCCGTGTTCCTGGCCCGACCCTCACCGGGTTCCTGCAAGGAGTGAAGGGGCTGCCAGTCCTGCCAACGGCCGGCCACAGAGCATGATGAGGCTGGGCGTTCAGTGCCCTCGCTCAAGGCAGGCAGGAGTTTTTAGCATACATTGCAAAGGAGTCTTCCTCCCCCAAATGGTTTAAAAATAAAGCCTGAAGACAAAAATGTCACATCTAGAAACTGGGATTCTATGCCTCACTTCCAAGTACTGCTAATAAGGTCTGCATAACTTCTCTTTTTCGGTTAGGAGGGGAGAATTCTTCAACAGCGGTTCCCAGAAGTTGTTGTTTAGTTGTTACCAGACCAGCAAACATGGGTAGTTTGAATGATTGGTGACCGCGTGATAGATTTGAGTTAATAAACAGGAGTGGGGATTCGGAACGCATAAACAGGGCTGGAGGAGAAGCATGGGCTTCCACCAGCAACTGCCCGAGGTGCCTCCTTGCGGCCCCCCGGCTGCCTGCCTGGAGGAGGAGAGGGAGCCCAGGCCTCTGCCTTCCTCCCCAGCCCGCCAGGCCTAGGCTGGGGGTGACCGGCAGCAGCAAGAAGCTACATCAGGGGAAGCAAAACCCATCATTGTGCCAGAGGGAAAATTGGTCTTTTTCTAAGCCAATGGGAAAATGTAAATATTTAATAACTGGTTCTACTAACTGATAGTCTATTTCTAAATCTTCTTAAGGCCTTCCTATCTCCCTTAACTGTTGATACTTTGCACTTCAAGTTTATGAAGTATGTATTTCTCTTTCAAGATTTTCTTAGTCCCTAAAAGGAGGTATATTTAAGTTGAAACAGAGATTGCAAAATCCAGTGTGAGAGGAGCATTCTAGATTAATTATACCCTCTCCTACGTATTCTGCATCTTAGGATAAGCCCTTCCTCTCACATGGTGTGGGTTCCATTTTGTTTTACCCGAAATTCACATCCCAGCACCCCTATTAGGGTCCTTCACGGCCTCCCCCAGCAGCTGCCTGAATTCTCTCGCAGGGCAGGACCCTTCAGCCAAACAGGCAGCGGGACGTGAAAAACTTGCCATAAATTAGAAAGGAGCCAGTCATTCTGAATCAGTGGTTCCATGAAGCTCTGTGAATTATTAGTGCCTCAAATACACTCCCCTTTACGTCCGATACTTGGCTGAAATGCTCCTTCTCCTATGTGCACTGGAGGGAAAATGCTTCGGGAGACTCTGCAAGTTCTTTGTTGTTGAGTAGTATGAGTTTTCCCTCCTAGTGTTTGTCTTTGTCGGCGGTAGGGCTCAAAAAGTATCATTGTCTTTCTGTTTCCATGAAAAAAAACCAGAATGCGTTGACAGGAATTTAATGGAGCTAAAACTTAAAAGTCAAAGATGGTTTAAAATGTGTTTCATGTGAGGAGATTTGAGAAGCAGGAGCTGGAGAAACTGTTGGCGATGTTTTTAATTGACCCATGATTAGAAAGGATTGAGAACGAGCTGATGGTAATAATTTTCAGATTACGCAGTGGTGAAATGAAATGAGGACCTCTGTGCTCAGTATCATAAGTGCTGCTAATAGCAAAGTACAAAATTCAAAATGTTTCTTTTGGAAAAGTCCGTTCACGAGGAAGCCAAATTCATTCATCCTCGTGAATTGTGTTTAATCGGTGGGGGAATGGATTTCCCTTTTGTTCTTCATTGACAGTTTTCATATCATTGAAAAAAATGACCCATATCTTTTAATTATCTGTGCTTCAGATCTATTTATTAAACACCTAATACAGGCTTAGAACAGGCAGAGTTCCAGAGAAAACCTAAGACCTGGGATGCATCTACTGTGGGTACAAATGAAATATGGAACAATTATTGGCAACTTTATTTGGTTTGGAATTATATACCAGAGATTTTAAGGGATGAATTAAGGGTGGGAAAATCATCGAGCAAAATCTTGAAAAACTCACGGAGTTTGAGTAAATTAGGAGAAAAGAGGTAAGGGCATTATGTGTAAGAGGAAAAACGTGAGTAAAGAGATGAAATTTGAAATAAAAATGGCAGATCTGTGGGGCAGAATTAAAGACCCGTCTGTCACTGGCTTATTTCTTCCTAGAACCCAGGCAAGGAGGCTAGCATCTCATTTTATTAGCTCAACTCCTTTATTTTACTTAAAGATACATTTGATGCATCAGAATGTGGGTGTGTTGACCAATACAAAATTATGTTCGATTTCTTTGAGCCAGACCTTCAACTTCAGGGAGGCCTGGACTTCTGGTTCCTCCCCGAAGGAAAGCAAGTTCAGAAGAATGTTATCACATGCAGTCTAAATAATGCATCACTTTAAAAACTAAATAAATAAGCCAGTCCTCACATTTAGATAACCGCAAATAGAACTTTCAAATGCCTTTATCACCTGTATCATTGCAGAAGATGTTTTCTAAAGGAAAATATAAGCCCTAGGAGCAGACTTGATATGGAGATAAAAGAGACTCAGGAAGTGAAAAGTCCTTGACCTTTTTGAACCTTGGTACTTTTATAAAGATCAGGGTCACTGACATAATGGAGTGTTTATGTTTGAATATGGTGGGGACTGTTGGGACAGCTGGTTTTGGAAAAAAGCAGATGAATCTGGGGGTGGTGGACATAGAATTATAAAATTATGGAAACATGGCTTACAAATCCTTACGTAATACCTTAATAACCTGTACATCTCTAAGGAATAGTTGTATCGGTCTAAACACAAGCATTCTAGCAGAGAGACTCAAAAGTTCAGAAGCTCAAGCTGCACAGGTATCTCTTTCCATCTCATGGTACCTGGTTAGGCAGGTGGCCCGGACCAACATGTGGTCCTGGGATCCGTCCTGTTGCTTTGCCTGGCACCAGGGCGCTGTCCTTGCCTGCGTGGGCAAAGCTCCCTAGCCCTTCCCCGCCTCGTTCCAGCCCATAGGAATGGAGGAGAAGTGATGTCCTCTTAAGCAAGTGATACAAACGTCGTCAAACTCCTGCTCTCATCCCAGGACCAAGAACTCAGCCATACTGTGCCACCCTGCTGTGAGGGAGCCATTGAAGGGCAAATGGGCAGCTAGGCCAGACCGTTGTGGCAGAAGGAAGGTAGTTATTGTACCAGAGGAAGAAAGGCAGTATCTTCTCAAGGAGTCATTTCGTTTTGTTCAAATACCTTTACTGTCAGCTGCAATTACTATCTAACGAGGCATATTATTCCATTTAGGGTGGCTGTGGTTATGCGGCACCTCTAACTTGTGTTAAGCAAAACTCTGTATCTGCAACGTCTGCCCTCCAGCACCGTTCGGCAAAAGTCAAATGTCTCTCCCCTCTAAAAGCCTTCCCGTTTTCGACACTAGCCACCTGTCCCCATGAGCTCGTCCCTTCCCAGGCCAGACATGTTCAGTTCTAATACACCAGCGTTGCTGTGGCCTTTACCATCGCTGTCACTTTTCCCCACGTGCATGCAGGTTGGTCAGCATGCTTTCTGTGGTGTAGCGTCCAAAATGTATCTGCCCCTCCAAGTGTATTTGAAGCAGAAGAAAGAGTGAGATTTTGCTTCCCTGGTGCTGAGATCCCAACTGCCAGCGAAGCTAGGGAGCGAATTAGCGCCCGAGAGGCTTATTTTACTACTTGGTGAAGTACAAAGAGCACAGCACTTGGAGCCAAATGGCCAGAGATTAAAGGCACAGCCTGCCACTGACAGGCAGGGTGAGCTTGGGCACGTTTTCTTGAGCCTCTTTGCCATCAGTGCAGAATTGACTTTGGGCAGCCCTGTGGCCCTCTCCCCCTGAGAGGCAGCGAGGAGACCTCCGATTCACCAGGCCTCTTGGTCAGGGCTCGGAGATGTGCTGGGCTTGTTCTGTCTCCAGTGTTCCAAAGCTGGTGAGCAGCCCTTCCTGACAGTCTCCAGATGACTAAATAACCTCTTAAAATGGTCTATGGCAGTTCTCATACCTGGCAGAATGCTTTCTCCAGACTGCTGGTCATGACTGCAGAGCCCTAGATGTTTGTATACCAGAGTCCAGAACTTTCCTGAACCCTTGTTTCATGGAACCTTCACATCCTTCCATGGAGACTGCAGGCATCTCTCCATCAGTCCAATCCCAGTCCCTTGAGTTTCTCATCCACGAAGTAAACAGCGTAACAGCATCTTCCCCAGATCGCTGTCCCCAGTGCGACAGCCGTCATCAAAGAGCTCTGTAAACTGGAGAGGCACATACCAGTGAGATCACTGCTGTCAATTCTAAAGCATTTGTTCATGCTGTTTGGCTGACAGTCGCTCCCTGCCATCCTCTCCACAGGCAGCTGGACATGTGGGTCCAAGAAGTTCATTTTGTCGTCACCATCATTATCATCATTCACTGCCACCTACATTTTCACAGCTCTCTTTCCCTCGGTTCCTCTACCTTTCTCCTCCGAGCCCCTAGATGCCTAATCCAGTGTCCTCTCCCACAGTCATCTCTCCAGCAGCTGTGCCTGCCAAGGGTATTTGCATTGTAAACAGTCCCAGATGGAAGGATCTTGCACAGTGGGGTTTAGGTAAAACAAATTAGGTTTTATAGGAAGGCT